ATTCCTCTTTTATCTGTCTCAAATCCCTAATTTTTAGGGAGGGCCTGGAACCTAATTATCTGTCTCAAATCCCTAATTTTTAGGGAGGGCCTGGAACCCTGGAGGGCCTGCTATACCTAAGCAATATTATTTTCTACTCTTCTTCAACATAGAGGAGAGGAATTCTAATCTACTGTGGGTAGCTCTTGTGCCATGCAGGCACTGTGGTAGATACTGTACATATACTACAGCTATAAATCTTTAAAATTACCTTGAAAGGTCAATATCTCTATTTTTTTTTTTAATATATGAAGAAACTGAGATTCACAAGTTACACAACTTGACAGAGGTAATATGGGTGGAATGGGAATTTAAATTATCCACTTCCGTGACCTCCTGAAGGCTGTTTTTTCCCCCATATTTCTTGTATTGTATAGAATTCACCTTTTATCAGGTATCTCTTTCCTTGGTATCCCATAGTACAGGGCAGGGCAAAAGTAGGTTTATAGATGTGAGTATGCAAAGCAGAGTTCATTATCATTTTATTATTTATTAATTATTTATTTTCCATACTAACAACTGTAAACCTACTTTTGCCTTACTCTATATCTATTCTTAATATCATACCTTTGTTCACATGGCTCTTTCTTCCTAAAACTCTTCTATTCCTTTTTCTGCCTATTCAAATTACGTATATTCTTTAAGGACTGACTTAAATTAGTTTCGTTTCCATATGCTTCTCTGAATTCTGCTTGTTTTTTGTATTTATTCCCTTGACTCTTATAGCAATTTAATATTGTAGTCTGTTTTCTGTACTTCCTCTGTGTTAGTCTTCTGTCCCCAAATGGAGTAGAAAAATTCTTTGAAGACAAAGCCAAGTTTATGCTGCTTCTTTAAAGCCCTACAGGCAAAGCATATGGAAGGTCCTCTACAAGCCTTTATTGGTTAATTGAGCATACATTGACATTTTTGGAAGATTTGTTCAAGTATTCGAAGATTTAAATTGAATTTTAAATCATTTTTGTCTACTTTATTTCCTTGTCAACTTTTCCTACATTGGGATGACCACTGTGTTTTAATTACAGTGAGATACTTTTTTGCTCATTTTGCTTTCAGTTTAGGTGGAGTAATTGATACCAACTCTTATTACGTGTAACATTAACATGAATCTAATTTTTTTGCTGTATAATCATACTGTTTTTGTATAGCCATTTATATAATTATTTAAAAGATGAATTTGTTATTTTCTCATGATTATTACTAATTTGGATTAAATGAATTATTTGCTTTTTTTTACATTTTTATTTTAATTTTATTTTTTTAATTTATAAATTATGTTTTTTCTATTACGGTTGTCTCAATTTTTCCCTCTTTATTCCTGTCCACCCATCCCACCCCCAGCCTCCGCTCCCACAGTCAATTCCCACTCTGTTGTCCATGTCCATGGGCCATTCATACATGTTCTTTGTCTAGTCCCTTCTCCTTCTTTCTACTGTTGTCCTCTTTCCCCATCTCCTCTGGTCACTTTCAGCCTGCTCCATGTTTCCATACCTGTGGTTTATTTTGTTCGTTAGTTTATTTTGTTGAACAGAGTCCACTTATAGGTGAGATCACATGGTATTAGTCTTTCATCAACTGGCGTATTTCACTAGCTTAATATTCTCCAGTTCCATCCATGTTGTTGCAAAAGGCAGGTGTTCCCTCCTTCTCTCTCTTTGTCTCTCTCTCTATCTCTCTCTTTCTTTCTTAAATGCAGATTGATATTTATTTTTTAAATGTCAAAGTTAATTATAAAATATTAAAAAATTTAAAACCATTATAAAGTCTCAAGAATTAAACCAACATGACATCAGCACAGAAATAATCAAGTAGATCAGTGAAATATAATGAACATTCTAGAGACAAACGTATATATCTAACAATATAATATATGATTAAGTTGATATTTCAAATGTAAAATAAGGCTTATTCAACAAATAAGGTGCATGGACCACTATTACTTGAAATAAAACAAATATAGAGCCCTATTTCACACATTATACAAGACATATTCGGGTGAGTTAAAAATCAATATGTAGAATCTAAGGAGCTTTAGAAGAAAATAGACTAATATTTTTCATGACTCAAAGTAAAATATTCAAACCAGGAAGCTATAAAGTAAATATTGACAATATGACTATATTAAACATTTAAGACAATATAGTAATATACATATAAAAAAAGTTAAAGGACAAGGAATAGAATAGGAAAGTATTTGCAACACATCTAAAACACAGTAATAGGGGTTTTTTTAAATTTGTTAGGGAAAAATTTCTACAAACCTTTAATCAATAAATGGATAAAAAATACCAAAAAGTCATTTAAAGCTTTTTAAAAATAATAGAAATAGTCAAGAAATATACAAGAACAGGTTTAGTTTCAACAAATAGTAAAGGAACAATTAAAATAACACATCACTGTCACAATCAGATTAATGAGTATTAAAAATATTTGTAATATCAAGTCTTGGCAACTCTGAAAGGAACTGGGTATTCATAGAAACTTTTTCTTCATCTTAAAGCAGTCCCTTTAGCATATTTTGCAGTGCTGGTTTGGTGGAGGCATATTGTTTTAGCCTTCTTTTGTCCGAGAAACTCCTTATTTTGCCTTCCATTTTAATTGAGAGCCTTGCTGGGTAGAGCAGTCTTGGTTGCAGGCCTTTGCTTTTCATGACTTGGAATATTTCTTGTCATTCCCTTCTGGCTTGCAGTGTTTCTGTTGAGAAGTCAGCTGCTAGCCGTATTGGGGCTCCCTTATATGTTACTACCTATTTCTCCATTGCTTTCTTTAGGATTCTCTGTTTGTCTCTGATATTTGCCATTTTATTTATGATGTGTCTTGGAGTGGGCCTCATTGGATTCTTCTTGAATGGGACCCTCTGTACTTCCTGGACTTGTGTGACTTTTTCTGTCCTCAAATTGGGGAAGTTTTCCATCATTACTTTTCAAACAGGTTCTCTATCCCTTCCTCGTCCTCTTTGCCTTCAGGTATCCCTGTTATACGAATGTTAATACTTTTCAGGTTGTCCTGCATTCCCCTCAATGCCTCTTCATTCTTTTTTCATTTTCTTGCTCTTTCTGGGAGCTTTTTTCTACCTTGTCCACCAGCTTGCTTTTTTGGTCCTTAGCTTCATCAAGCCTGCTTTTGATTCCTTCTACTGTGTTCTTCAATTCAGAAATTGTATCCTTCATTTCCTCTTGCTGATAGTTTCTATGTCCTTTTTCATGCTGATATAGTTTGCAGTAAGTTCCTCATAGTTTCCCTGTAGTTTTTTATAATTCTCTCTGAGCTCACTGAGCTCATTGAGCTTCCTTAGAACCGTTGTTTGGAACTCAGTATCTGATAGTTTACTTGCCTCGATTTCATTTAGTTCTCTTTGTGGGGATTCCTCCTTTCCCTTCGAGTAGGGGGTGTTTCTTTGCCTTCCCACTATTTGTGAGACTCTTCTTTTTTGCTTCTGCTTCTTAAATTTATCTGTTTTGATTTTCTGACTTTGTGGTGTGAACTTCTATGGTAGGAGACTGCTGGTTTTTTTTTTTTGCACCTGCCTCTGATTGTGTCAGCTGTTGACCCTGTCTGATCTTAGACAGTCTGTTTGAGATTTCCAGGAATCTACTGTCTGTGGCTGTCTCTTTTAGTTGTTAATCTAATCACTCTGTACTCAGCAGTCAGGCTTAGGCAGCACAGGGCGGGGTGGAGACCCTCCTGAGGGAGGGGTTATTGGGTCCTCTCATGCTGCTGCTCCTTAGGGGCGTGGTCTGCCTGAGCCAGATGGCTGCTGCTGTATGGGGGAGCAGTCAGCACCAGGATCACACCGGCTACTCTCTGTTTTCTCCCTAAAGCCCCCATCTCCAGTCTCTTCTTAAGTGTCTCTAGACCACTCTGTGCCCCCGTTAGCCAGGGTTCTACTATCTGTGGCTGCCACTTGGTACTCAGCAGTCAGGCTTTCGTACCACTGGGCCAGGGCAGAGTCCCTCCTGGGGGCAGAGCTATTGTGTCCTCTCATGCTGCTGCTACTCAGGGAAATGGTCTGCTGCATGGGGGATGAGTCAGCACTGGAATCCTGCTGGCTACTCTCTCCATCCTCTCCCCAAAGCCTCCTTCTACAGTCTCTCCTCAGGTACCTCTAGCCCACTCTGCCTCCACCTTTGCCAGAGACAGTGGCTGCAAATAAAAATTTATGCATTGGCCTTTTCAAAGGCTCTTTGTGTCTCCAGCTGCCTGTCTCTGGCAGAGAGCAACCCTGCCACTTTTTGCAGCTGGTTGTTATCTGTGTACTTTTTGGGCTCTGGTGCTGTAGTCTGGAGACCCTGCTTATGGTTTAGACCCCACTCTTTTCAGGGAGATCCAACTGGCTTTTTCAATATCCCTCTGGCGCTGCCACCCGTGGGTGCCCAGCCCACCTTCTCGAGGCTCTACCGCACTTCTTAACGGTTAGGTTGTGCTATAGCTGATTCTTCTGTCTGTCCAATGTTGTAAGTCTCCCCTCTCACTATTATTCAGCTGTTTGTTCCACGTGATTTCTTCACAATTTAGTTGTAATTCCAGATTGGTCCTGGGAGGAGGTCAGTGTGACTTCCATTCACTCCCTGCCATCTTGATTTCTCCCTAATGCTTATTATATTTTAGTATTCCTATAATTTTAAATAATAATTACTATTATATTTTCAGTGCCCTAAACTACATGGTGCCTTTGACATCCATTACAGTGTCTCATTCTTCATTAGATTTTTTTTTATTAAAGTGAAAGGATTATGTGATAATACAAAAAATTATTGACAGTGAAAGAGGAAATTGTTCTCAGAATTGGTAGTTTTTGCTTTGGTATGGTGTATAAAATACAGTGTTCCTTACTTTGGCATAGATAGAACCAAACTGTTTTTTAATGTATTTGTTTTCTTTTCCTGTATATATTGTCATGGTTATTTTGTTAATGTGGTATAACCTATCGTCTGTTCATTTTGAAACTTTCTTTTTTTAAGCTGACATCTGAAATGTTTGAAGCAGATCTTGAGAAGGCCTTGTTGCTAAGTAAATTAGAATATGAAGAACACAAAAAGGTATTTATACACATTCATTTTGCTATATTAGGTTTAAGTGGTCAAAAGTTAGGACCAGCCTTCCTGAATTTTATATTGACGTTCTCTTTAAAGTTTGTCCTAAAAATTTTTTATTTAGCAAAATAATATTACTGTGAAGTTTTTATAATAAGATTCCTCCTCAGGTTTTGAGAGACAACAGAAACATGTGGGCTCAGCTTTGTGTGATGATTTGGAATGTTTAGTTACAAAAGTTCCTACACCTAACGTGAAGGAAAGAGTAAATTAAATTAATAACAGATGATTTATTTTAACTTATTTTAAATGAACATAGAAAATAAGTAAATTAAAAAATGTAAGGTAAGTATGAGTACAGGGGCATCCATTAAGAGACCCTTTGCCAGAGATAGCAATACAATCAACTAAAGTAAATGGGAGGATATTTCTGATAATTTGCTCTTTTGAACTCAGTATTTGTCACTAAGCTGTGATATTGGCCTGTGTGCTGATGCATTCTACGTCTTGTTAACTACATAAACATTGAAGTGAAAAGGTGTGTTGGTTTCGAGTTAATATATTTAAATTGAACATTTATATTATTTTCATATGTTTAACTTTAGCCCTTTACATGTATTGGGGTTGTTTTGATCCATAAATTTTATTCAACTTGTGATTACTCAGTAGTTGATTATAAATGGACTCTGGTCATGCCTAAGGGCCATTAGATTATGTCATTTTGTACCATCTTCTTCTTTCAAGTTGAAGGGAAGAAGGTAGTTAAAATTTACAGTGGATGATTTTGCTATTTATTCATAGCTCAAGGGAAGAGGAAGAAAGCCAGCAAAGTGACCTTTTGTACACTGTATTTGTTATATTTTCAATGTCTCTGCTTCTGTTATTCTGAAAAATCAAGAATAACTGAAATCTTCTTGTTACTTGTCTATTTAGACAGAAAGATGGCAATTACAAAAATTGATACAGCTAGCTTTATCATGACTTAAATCATTTAATAGACTTTAATGTAACACTGGAAAAGTTCTCCTGCCTTGCACGATTTGAAGATAAAATTTATCAAATTGAAATTATTATACAGTAATGATTTCTTACTGTTTTTAGATATATGTCGAGATTCTAAAGCTGAAGTGATTAGTTGTATCTTTAGAGGAGTAGTAGAGTAGATAGTGTTGATAAAATACCATGCTTCCAGCCAGTTTTCTTGGCATAGTCATAGGTATAGTACCCCAAAGCATTTGTTTTATTAAACAACAGTGACTCTCAAAGAATGGAGGAACTCCTTTTGTATGTGATGGCTAGTTCGATATGATTACATTGATGTTGTCACTGAGTTTTAAGTCAGTCAATTCAATTTAAAAATTATACTTCAGCTTCAGGATTTTTATAATAACTAAAGGTTGGGATGGCATTTTCTATTTTCTCCTGTCACTTAACAGAATTTTTTTTGAATAGCCAAAATGTGGTAGACACAGAATATAAAGATTAAGATATGGTCCCAGCCCTTGAGGTAAGTGGAGGGAGGCACGTATTATATTTATGGTGAATAGTATTGAGAGATGTATGTTCTCAGTGCAGTAGAAATTCAGAGAGCTAGAATTGCCTGTGCCTTTGTTGGGGAAGAATTTTAGGAAAGGGTTCTTCAAAGAGGGTCATACTATGTATTGGAAGTTCACAGGGTAGTCCTGGCAGGTGTGGCTCAGTTGGCTGAAGCATCATCACATAACCAAAAGGTTGTGGTTTTGATTCCTGATTGGGGCACATGCCTAGGTTGCAGATTTCAACTTTATCAGGTGTGTATGGGAGGCAGCTGATCTATGCTTCTCTTTGATGTTGATGTTTCTTTCTCTCCCTCCCTCTCTCTCTGAATGCAATGGAAAAATGTCCTTGGGTGAGGATTTAAAAAATAAAAAAAAGAAGTTCACAGTGTAGGTAAGAGGAAAGTCAGCATTCCCAGGGAAGAAGTGGCAAGTATACAAGATATATACATATGAAGGAGTATAGCATATTGAAAAACTGTAATTTAGGGACCTAGAGTTGCTAGAATAAGGTAAAAAGAACCTGTGTACCAGGCCAAGGAGATTAGGTTTTATACATATTCAGAGAACTGTCGAATATTTTTAACTTTTAAATTGATTTCGAGTTTTCATTTTAGAAAGTCATGCTGTAGCAGTGTAGAAGATGGGTTGAGGGGCTAAAATTTGAGGATGTGGTAGTGTGAAGCAAAAGAAGATGGGGAAATGACAGAAGGTATGAAGAAAAGAAATATATTTAAGAGAGCTTTAAGAGATAAACTCAGTAAGACTTACTTACTAATTTGGATATGAAGTGTGTAGAAAGAGTAGGCAAGGATGACTCTGACGTTGCTGGTCCAAACAGATGATGGTGGCATTAAATAAGAGAATTGGAGATGCTTATTGAATATCTCAGGTGAGTTGTCTGCACATACAGAAATTGTCATTGTATAGGTAGAACTTTAAACTTTGAGTTTGAAGAACACTGGTTATAAAGCATAAGAATAGGTTGGAATGGAATAATGGTGAATAGCAGTTACATTTTCAAGAGCAGAGATTGGAAAAGAGAAGCCAGTGAGGGAGACTCAAGAGTAGTCAGAAATGTACTGAGAAAACTGAGAAACACTTGAAAAATAATGTCTTTTGGATTTGACATTTAAAAGGAAGTTGACCTTAATTTTAGTGTCAGAAAACAACAGGAGCCAGATTTCAGGAGTTGGGATAGGGAGTGAGAAAGCAAATTGACTGTAGATGATTGTTTTAAGTTTGGTCCATAAATGGAGAAGAAGATAGTGGTGCCCTGATCAGTATGGCTCAGTTGGTTGGGCACTCTCCCGCAAAGCGAAAGGTCTCTGTTTCTACTCCAGGTCAGGGCACATGCCTGGGTTACAGGTTTGGTCCCTGGTCGGAGCACTTACAGGAGGCAGCCGATGGATCCATGTTTCTCTCTCACATCGATGTTTCTTTCCCTCTCTTCCTCCCTCCCTTCCTTTCTCTCTAAAAATAAATAAATAAAATCTTTAAAAAAAAGAAGAAGAGGAGGGTGGCATGTAGTAGAGGGTATAGACCAAGGTACATAGCTTTTTGTTTTTATTTTAATGTTTAAGAGGCAAGAAATTGAGTATATAAATAAACAGGTATCCTTTTATACAAGTTGGTTAGCCTAAGTTTCTATTTATTACTTGCCTTTTATTTTTAAAAAGAAAACTTCAGTAAACATATTTACCTGTTGGTAAGTTGATGTTACTAGTGTAAACTAAGCTTAATGGTCATTGATCATTCTTTTCAGGAGTATGAAAATGCCGAAAATACTTCAACTCAGTCAAAGGTTATGAATAAAAAAGATAAAAGAAAGAATCATCAGGGAAAAGACAAACCTCTCACAGTATCACTAAAAGATTTTCAATCTGAAGGTAATATATGTATGAAATCTGTTATGCTAGAGCACTGTTCTAAGTCTTTGTATACTTAAGTTGTAATTACCTTTCTAATTTTTAAAATAACTAAACATTGTTTTGTTAATCTTCTACTTAGAATATAGAATATAAACTTGTTTGGAAATAAACCATTTAGGGGTTAGAGTAATTTAAAATCAATCATAAAAACTCCATAACTAGAACTTATCTTTTTGTATTTCTGAATTTGTCCCTTATCTAACACTTACTGAAAATAAAAATTTGCATTTGTAGTTTTTAAGTCATCATGAAATGAACATATTATTGTCCTTATACATAAAGTGATTTGGCTGAAACTAGATCAGGAATAATATCTTCAGCTTTCATCCATTATTGGTCAGCTAACTTCCTAAAGTTATCTAGAACTACAACTTAGAAAATTAAAATACAAATTTTTAGAATAAGACTTATTATCAGAAAATTCTTTATAATATAGTTTTTATTTTTTTGTCAAAAAGAGAAGATAGAAGGAAATTATATCATCCACTAAATTTTTGAAGACAGAATACAAAGCACTTTTTTTTTTGATGTTGGAAATGGTGAAAACACTACATCTGTACTGTATTATATGGTAGCCACTATTCCTGTGTGGTAACTTAAATGCAAATTAGTTAAAATCAACTAAAATAAAAAGTTCCTTAGTTGCATTAGCCACATTTCAAATGCTCAGTAGCCACAAGTGACTAGTAGCTTCCGTATGAGAGAGCACAGTCAAAAAATTTTTTCAAATATTACGGTGCTTACACCAGTCTAGTGTAGTTGTTAACCAAATGGAGAGCTATTTGTTCATTGACAGAGCAGCCTGTTTGATTAATATGAATTTAGCCTTAATACATTGGGCATTTGTTCTGTGAGGATTATTAATACCATAGCATTAATCTAAAAAAAAAAACCCCATTTCACTGTTTCAGAAACAAGGCTATCTGTGAAATTAGGAACAAATTTAGAGGGCTATATTGCTTTCCTTTATGGATCAGGAAAGTTGTTTTGGGGTTAAAAGAACAGATGTATGTTAAAATAAAATTCCCAATTTTAGTAAAATTTTAAGATTTTTATATAAGATATATTTCATTATCAACTAAGCAGAAACATGAAAAAATTTTAAACATGTTTATTTTCCATATGTTTGATTTATTAAATATTTTATAAATTTATTAGCTGGATTGAGAAAGACATCAGTATGATGCTATTAAAGGGAAACTCTACAACTATTACATGATTAACACATTCTTCCTCAGGTTCTGACATCACATTGTATGCTATGTAGAACATGCTAGTAGAATGTGTAATCTACCAGAATTTAGTAATTGGATCTGAAACTTGTGATTTCGACATTTACTATGTTTATGGACTCTATTCTCATCATTGAATGCTTTAGAGAACTGATTCCGCTTTTAGATTTTCAGTCACAAGAAAGCTATTCTACTCAATTGTTAGTCCTTGAGGATGGAAAATTTTTGGGGTCCACACGAAGCATTATTAAATATTAGATACCCTTATCATTTTCAATTTAAATAAGAACACACTTGTTCCCTATTTGTTCTTCAGTATCAGCCTTCTGTCTGAGTGGATTCTCTTATGTCTTCCTCATTCTGTAATCCCTTTTCACAAGTGCTGTGTTGTTACTAAGTCAATGATTAGTTTAATCTAGATATATTTGTTTTGACTTCTTTTTTTGTATTCATTCTATAAATATACATCAATTTTTAGAATTTTTAAATGGTATATTAAATCATTATTTCTAAATGGTATATTTAAATATTTAAATGGTATATTTAAATGGTATATTTTTTAAAATGAAAAACCAGCTAAAAGTTTTAAAGGACACAAATTACTATTTGACTTTTAATTTTATTCCACAAAGGCAGTAATATGTATCGTTTTCCCCCAGTATCCTGTGATTTGATTTTAGACATATTTGTACCCCCTCAAGTTCTCCCTTCCTTCCAAAAATACTGTGTGAAACCAAAAACTTAAATGATGTAGAATTCAAATGTTTAAAATTTAATAATACCCTTTGTAATGGATGGCATTTACTGGGATATAAGACTTACTCCCTAAGTTGAACAAATAGTTACATACTGAATTTTAACATTTTATTCCTAGAAAAATAATCTGATGAATCCTAGGCAACCCAGAAATGACCTCTGAAACTCTTATTATAATTTTGAAATTCTTTTGAGTTACTTTGTTTAAATGTTTTTATATATTAAAATATTTTTATATGTTAATTTCCTTCAATGAAGTATCACCTTTTTTTTTACAGATCCCATTAGTAAAAAGACAGAGGTAAGTTTTGTAACCAAATTTATTTTAGAAAACACTTGTGATTTTAAGAATAGTACTTTAATGTGTAGCAGTAAGTATTTTTTGAGACATAGACATTTAAGGGATAGTCCTTAGGTTTTTCATGAGTAAATTCAATCATGTTTCTGGCAGTTGAAAGGAAATAAAGTATGTTGTGGTAGAATAAAAATATGATTATGTGCATGAATATAATAACATTTGGCTTTAGTATCCTAATTTTTTTGTGCCTGTTAGCCAAAGGGTTACATGTAAGTTAAAATTTTAGAAACTCAGTCTGTATTTTAACCTTCATTTAAAACATCCTGAAACCATGCCTCAAGATATTTTGGATATATATAAATTGTGAGGTTATCTGTGATTACATAGTTTATACCCATGGATAAGATTAACCTGTTTGTATACTTTTTTTACCATTCATTATTAGAGTGTAGTGCAGCCATAACTTCCTAATGTTATCTGTGACTTTTTTTTAAAGACTCCATGGAACCTCTGTAAACCTTTTAAAATTGGAGAATGAGACTGCCATAAAATACCTTTTAATTAGAGGACAGTACTAAAAATTGTTAAGAATGCTTTTGACTTTTTTAGGTAATAGTTTGAGAGTTTTATTCTTGTGTATGTATTTTGTCAATAATTCATTAATTGATTTTTTTCAAGTGGCCAGATATCCCTTGATTTCACTTTAATAAACCTATATGGCTTGTGATCTTTTTCTGGTTGTTTCAGGCATTTGAAAACAACATTTAAATAATTCTGTGACTACATTAATAATATAGTTCTTAATTATTCACACAAACAGAATGGATTTGTTAGTAAAACATGCTAGAAATTCTTTTGAAGTTATTAACAAACCACTGTTACCATTTCTTAGATTAAATTTAAATGACCACAAATATAGATTGAGTATTAATTTTATGTTTAAAAATAGAAAACATGTACTTTTGGATTGATACCATTTCTTAAAATCCATTGATGTAAATGGAGGTTAACATTATGTGAACGAGCAAGCAGATAAAAATGGTACACGTTATTCCTAAGGAACTACCCTCACCTGTTAGTGGAGGGAAAAACAAGTTTTATAAACAGCTCCGTGCTTGCTTTTTCTTCTTTCCTGATTTGAAAGAAGAAGAAAAAAGCCAGAATGACCAGGATTTCATCTATTTAATATATATGTTTAAACTGAGTTGTATTTAAACAAGCATAGGTGACAATAGTATACATTTTGTCTTTTGTTGTAATTTAAGAGCTCTATTCTAATTTTGTTATTAAATAACTTGATATGCAATAAAGTTTATTTTGAATAATTCCAATTAAGAATTTTCTATATTTGTAAATGCAGTCTAATTATAATTTATTTCCTATATAACTGTTTTAAGAAATTGGTCGGAATAAAATGTAATTCACATTATTTTTGACACTTATTATACCAAAGTTATGTTCCATTTCTATTAGAGGTATTACTTTCTGGGAACTGAATATTTAAATGGTTATGCCATTGCTCTAGTAATTTAGGAAAACTTTTCTTCAGAGAGTTCAAAAAAGTTTGAAAAAAATTCTGACTTCAACTCTAAAATGACATGTTTTCTGCTCCTAAAAATATACTAGACTTTGTTATATTGTATGTTGAATAATCGACTGAATTCTTTCCATCTTTAATATTTTACTTATATCAAGAGATTTTTTTCCATGGGTACTTTAAAATTCCTAACCTCTGTGGAGGACAGTATACATCGCAGCTTTCCCCTCATAAATCAGGTATTTCCTGGATAAAATTCAAAAGAGAAAGTATTTTTTACTTTATTGCTGGGTGATGAGGATTACTTAACTACCTGTATATTCATCTAACTTCTAGCCAAACTTGTTCTCAGGTTAATTTCATCATTTTCCGTTTTCTTTTTCCATTCACCTCATAATTTATGATTATGTGTTATTAGTTTCAGCACTTTCTTTCTAGTCCCAGTTCTTTGTAATCTCTCCTATCCTGAAATGATTGAAATAAAAATGACACTTTCAGGAGTAGAGGATGGAAACAGTTTTTCTGCATTAAATGTCTAGGAGCTTTTGGCTGCCACTGCTATACCAGTCCCCTACCCTTCACTACAGTGTAGTCAAGAACATCTTAAAAGAAGTCTAGACAAGCACAATGAATAATAGAGTAGGTGCTTGTACATACCTTTTAAACACCTCAACTGACCATGCCTTTTAAATGGCATTATTTGATCCTTGAAGTTGTTTTGTTTGTTTTTAATTTTAATGTGTCACCTTTTTAAATGCTAGTGCTGCTGGGTTAAGAATTTCATAGCTACTCCTTTCTCTTTAGTCCTACGTTTTACCTGGCCTAAATTCCAGCCCTCTCATACCAATCAATGTCTTTAAAAATTTTAGTGATCATATGTCTTAAGTCTTAAAGTTTAAAAGGTCAAATCTTTAATATGCTTGAATAGATGATCTCTAGGACAGCATCTGAGAAGTTGTAGCAGTGGTTGCCAAAGGGTAGGGGAGGAGGGAAACAGGGATAGGAGAAAGGCTAACTTTTCAAAATGCAAACTTTTACATTTTCCATGATGTCAGTGTACTACCTATTAAAAATTCTATTAATCCCTGGCTGGGTAGGTAAGTGGTTAGAGCATTGTCCCTGATATGCCAAAGTTGTGGGTTTGGTCCCCAGTCAGGGCACATATAAGAATCAACCACATAAATGCATAAATAAGTAGAACAACAAATGCCCCCTCCCTCCTCACCCCTCCCCCCCTCAAAAAAAAAAGAGAGCTGAGGAACAGACCCAGTTCTATCTGGATCCTCAGCCTATTTCCTTTTATTGCATTATGCTTCCAGAATCTCTACCTTATATATATAAGCTTGAATAAATTTATTCATTTTAGACCCTAGTCATATTAGCTGAGAAAGCAAGATTCAGTCTGTTGATTTTTAAAATTATGATAAATGATCAGTGTGTGATTGAATATTATATGCTAAAAAAGTAGACCCTATAGTTAATGCAACCAAAGCACAGGAGAATAGCAATAATAGACCATTAAATCTTAAAAGTAACAAATTCTATTTAGCTTTTAAAAATCTCACCTAAGGTCTGGTTTTACCCAAGCAATGCAACCTATTACCTTCCTCCTTTCAACATACTAAACTAATTTTTGTTTTCGTGCCTTATTTGTTTTTATTATATTTGTTAGCTTGCTTTGATTGTTAAGTAACAGAAACCCATATCAATACAGCATAAACAAAAGAGAGACATTTATTGGCTCATGTAACCAAACAGTGGTGGAAGAATAGGGAAAGAGATGGCTTCATAATTGACTAGATCGAAAAATTTATATAGTTTGGGGACTCTTCCTTTCTCTCCCAAGTCTGTGTTACTATCTTTGGCTTCACTCATGGCAGATCACTTTATTATGGTTGATTTCAGTTACATCTTTAGAGGATATCCTATAAACTGTTAATTAACTCTTGAGTCTTGATAGATTCAGGTTGGTTTTTGTTTTTTGTTTGTTTGTTTATTTTTGAAGATATGAGAGAAGCAAGAGTATTTTCTAGATGATGTGATGTGCTTCCAGCCATGTCTCATGGGGAATAGAATTTTTATGATGTTAAAGTTGATTCTCCATTAAAAGGAATTACTTGAAGAAATATGGCTCCTTCTGGGGCTGCAACAGGGGATATACAAGATGAACATGGAACGTCTTGTGGTGTTAGAAAGTAAGGAAGTACTCAAAAAACCAAAATATAGGGGCATGTCAGAAGGACATAGGAAACAACCTAAAATACCTTCCAATATCCAGAACTGTGACAATTTGAGATACAAAGTAAATAACATAGTATTGGTACCCCGAGTATAAAGTACATATCCATAAGTTGATATTCATGTAAATAAGTGATTGAATAAATAAATAAAGGGAGAGAAGAGACCAATCTCCCGTACAGAAAAGTATAAATAATTTATATAGATTTTCTCCCTCTTGGGGAGAGGACTTCTTCCACTTCCCTTGAGTGTGGGCTGCACATAGTAACCTGCTTCCAAAAAACAGTGTACAAAGGGAGGGAAAGTAACTTACACTGGAGAAACCTAGCAAACACAACCTTGACTTAGATGGTCAATGTCAATATTATTAGTGATTAATGATGTTGATAGCATATACCTTTGATGTGATGTGATGAAAATGGCCTATGACTTTGTGTTTTCTCCCTCCCCCCCAAAAAAACCCACATAACCCAGCCTAACCTTGAGAAATGTATCAGACAAACCCAAATCAAGGGACAGTCTACAAAATACCAAACCAGTAGGACCAGTATTCCTCAAAACTATCAAGGTTATCAGAAACAAAGTCTGAGAAACTGTCATGGACCAGAGAAGGCTAAGGAGACATGACAACTATATGTAATATATCCTAGATGGGATCTTGGAACAGAAAAAGGACAGTGGAGTAACGTGGCAGTGTTAGTTCTTTAGCTGTAAAATGTACCGTGATAATGTAAGATGTTATCAGAAACAGAAACTGAGTGAGAGATACATGGAAACTCTGTCCTATCAGCAATTTTTCTGTCAGACTATTCTAAAATTTTAAAAAGTTTGTTTAAAAAATTGATCAGCGGGCTCAGGTGTTGTCAGCCATTATAAAGTTTTCCATCACTTTCACTCAGTGCTTTTAGCAGCTATTAAAGATTATTTCCTTGATTTATTATTTTTTAGAGCTGTTCTTTATTAAATTTAAAATTCAGGAATACATGCATGCATATAGTATTATAATAATTGAATGGTAGAGGAGAGTTTATGAAATCAGAAGTGTCCCAGCCATTGCCCTTTTCTTGCTACTTTTAACATTTTTTCTCACATTTTAAGATTGACTCTGCGTCAAGCCTTGTAAAAGTATTTAGAATTTTTCTGAACCCAGTATATTTTTTTCATAGTACCTTGCTTACCCATGTGTTTTTCCCTTTCATCTTCCTCAGTGATGTCCCTGAATACCTGT